CTCTCTCTCTCTCTCTCTCTCTCTCTCTCTCTCTCTCTCTCTCTCTCTCCCTCTCCTTTTGGGCATTATGGTTTGCAATAATGAAAGGCCATCATGTTTTGTCCTTATTTATTTTCAGCACACATCTCCCACCCAGAGAGATCCCTCCAACCACCATTTATTTAGGGATCCCTTCTCTGTCCCAGCTGCCTTCTCTCCCAGCTCATAAAGCAAGCTTTCAGCCATGGACAAATCTTCCTGACCCTGTCTCTACTGTCCTTGGGTGTTTGTCTCATATTGTGATATTTTATATTCCACAAATGAGTGCAGTCATTCTATGCCAGTCTCTCTCTTTCTGACTCATTTCACTTAGCATGATACTCTCCATGACCAACCACTTTTAAGCAGATTTCATGAATTCATCTTTTCTAACAGCTGCATAGTATTCCATTGTGTAGATGTACCAAAGTTTCTTTAACCAGTCATCTGTTCTCGGACACCCGAGTTGTTTCCAGTTTCTGGGTATTCAGGGATCCAAGTAGGGTTGGTCATGTGCAACAGAATCTTTGTATTTTTTCTCCAGCAGCCCACCCTTTTTCTTTTTCATGTTATTTCCTGCTTTCTTTCTTTGTAATTATTGGAATAGGCCCATAGACAGAATTTCATTGTGTGATTTCTAAACAGTGAGCACAGAAGATAGTGTGTGTGAAACCATCCTAATGAGGAGATTTTGTATAGTGAATACTCTTTCTCTGCCTCTTTATTTTTGGTTTGTGTTTGTCCCATATGCAGTGATGCTCAGGACTTGCTCCTGTCTCTATGCTCAGGGATCACTCCGGGTGGGGGTAAACACCTTGCCCACTGTATTACGGCTTTGGTCCCAATGACCTTATGTGCTCATCATTGCCAGATGTACTTGACTCTAAGTTTTTCCCCTCTGTCATTTTGTTCATTTGGCAAATAGAGAGAAAACAATCCTCCATTAGTATGAATTTACAGCTACAAAAAGCATGTTCTTCTTTGTACCTGTCAATGCGGACATACACATGGAAACTGCAACTTGTCATGCATTATTATTTTCTCTCATCTCAGGAAGATGGTTGGCACAGTGTTGAGTGATAGTAGCTGCACTGGAATTCAAAAGACACTCCAGATAGATTTGTGTCATTCCACTGCCATTTGAATACAGAAATAATTTCCCACATTTAGATTTTAGTGTCCAATTTCCTATATGAAACCAAGAGAAGAAAATAAGACTTCCACCTGCCCTGAAGAAACTTGTGTTCTCTCTTAGGTATGTCTTTCTTTCTCTCCTGTTTTCCCTTTACTTTTCTCTGTGGAAATTTTAATATAAAACTGTTTTGCTTCACACACAAAAATAAATTAATAAAGTTTTTTAGTAATTTTAAGATTTAATAGATTTTAATTTTATTAAGTTTAATCATTATGGTTTTCACATGTTTACAAGTGTTAACATTTAATGTTTGAGTGTGTACAGTTAATATAACTCCCCACCATCAAAGTTCCTCAAAGCCTCCACCAATGTCACTGTGTCACCCCATCCTCTTTATCTCCCCCCAACTCTTCCCCTTGTTTCGTAGTACCAGTTTTGTAATAAGAGTTGTTATCATTTGATAGTAACATTTCATCGCTCTGTTTCTTTGTAGATCACAGTTGAGTGAGACCATCTGATATTTTATTCTCCCTCTGATTTATTTCACTTGATATTATGTTGTCCAGTTCCAGGCAAATGGAAGTGAACTAAAAGATTTCATTTTTTGTTATAGATGCCTATTATTCCATTGTGTACACATACCACAAATTCTTTATCCATTCATCTTTAGGTTGTTTCAATAGTGCGGCTATTGCAGTTGGTGCTGTAATAAGATAGGTGTTCATATATCTTTCAAATTAAAGATTTGGTACTTAGAGGATAGATGTTGAAAAGTAAAATCACTAGGCCATATGGATATTTCATTCTTGTTTTTTAGAAAATTCTCCATACTATTTTTCATAGAGGCTGAACAGACAAAATTCCCTTGAATAGTAAATGAGGATTCCTTTTTCAGATGTCATAGACTTTAAACTGGTATTTTAAATGTACAGGGAATGTGTCTTAATTCCTCTGTTATGAGAATTTTAATGTAAAAATATTTTATAAAGTATGAAATATATATATATATATACACATATAGTTGTATACATATATACCATTGGAATGTTGGAGAAATCATGACATCAAAATTAATGAAAAGTATAAACCGGAGTCAGGTACATTAAGAGAATATAACAAGTGTATATCTTCCATTATTGACTGCTTGGTAGTCAATTTCATAACTTCCTAAATTGCTCTTTAAAAACTAGTATCATGACAAACTGTCCAACAAACACTGTCCTCCCATTGTTTGTCGACTTGCTCGAGCGGGTCCAGTAACATCTTCATTTTTGAAACTTGCTGTTACTGTGTTTGTTTGGCATATTGAATACGTCACAGGGAGCTTGCCAGGCTTTGCTGTGAGGGCAAGATACTCTCTATAGCTTGCTGGGCTCTCCGAGAGGGGCAGAGGAATTGAACCCGGCTTGGCCGGGCTTGCTGCATGCAAGGCAAACACTCTACCACTGTGCTATTGCTCCAGTCCAGCATCATGACACAATGGTTTATTTTTTTACGTTTTTCCAAAATCCGTCCCTTCACCAGTGTACATTTCCCACCACCAAGAGCACCAGCTTACCTCCTGCCTCCGTGGCAGGTACTTTTCTTCTCTCTCTCTCTCTCTCTCTCTCTCTCTCTCTCTCTCTCTCTCTCTCTCTGTCTCTCTTTAGTGTGAGTCTTGCTAGTGGTTTCGCGGTCTTGTTTATTTTTTCAAAGAACCAGCTCTTGGTTTTATCGATCATTTTGATTGTGTTTTGGGATTCCAGCTTGTTAATTTCTGCTCTAAGTTTTGTTTTTTCTTTCTTCCTCCTGCCTGATTTGGGCTCCTTTTGTTGGTCTATTTTCTAAGATTTTAAGCTGTGGGGTTATTTAGGTGGGCCTTTCTTCCTTCCTGATGTATGCTTGCAGAGCTATAGACTTTCCTCTTAAAGGTGCTTTTGCTGTATCCCACAAGTTCTGCCATCTCATGTCCTCACTCTCATTTGCTTCCAGGAATCTTGTGATTTCCTCTCTAACCCACTGATTGCTCAATAGCCAGTTGTTTATTTTCCAGGTATTTAATTTGATTCTCCATTTATGTGTGTTACTAACTTCTAATTTCTGTGCCTCATGGTCTGAAAAGAGAGTTGATACCATTTCTGTCCTCTTAATGTTTTAGAGGTGTGTTTTGTGTCCAAGCATGTGATCTATCTTGGAAACTGTTTCATGTTCATTGGAGAAGAATGTATATTCAGCTTTTGGGGGATGAAGGGCCCTAAATATCTACTGACTCCCTCTATCCCACTTCATCCTTTAAATCCAGTATTTCCTTGCTGGGTTTTAACCTCATTAATCTATCAAGGGGTGACAGGGCAGTACTGGTCTATAACTAATAATGTGTTGCTTCCAATGTCTTTCCTCAAGTCTATTAGTAGTTGTTTTAAGTATTTTGCTGGTCCCTCATTGGGCACATACACATTCAGGAGTGTAATTTCTTCCTGATATATGCATGCCTTGATTATTAATAAATGACATTCATTGTCTCTTGTAACCTTTTTCAGCCTAAAATGCATGTTGCAGGATACTAGTATGATCAACCTGGCTTTTTTGAGGAAGTTGTTTGTTTGAAGAACTACTTTCCAGGCTTTCACTTTGAGTACGTGTTTGCTTGAACTATTCAAATGTGTTTCTTGTAGACAGCAGAATTTTAGATTCAATTATTTAATCCATTTTGCCACCTGTGTCTTATAACCGGTACATTTACATCATTGATTATTGTGATGGGGTTTTGTGCCATCTTTCTTTTAGAGGAATTTTATGCTTATGGAGTTTGTCTTGCCTTACAGTTGTTACCCCTTGAGTTTTTCTTTTAAGATTGATTTTCAGCCTATGAAGTTCCTGAGCTATTGTTTATCCGTGATTTTCTCTATCATTCTTTCAAATCTGAATAAGAATCTTAGTGAAGCCTTCATTTTGTTAAGTTTTTGAACTATATCGCACCACTGTCCTCAGGATTACAGGGTTTCATTCAATAGTTTCGCTGTAAATCTAAGGAATTACATGCTGTAAATCTTTGCATGTAATTCCTTTCTTTGATCTTGCTTCTTTCAGTATTGTATTTCTTTTTTTTTCTTTGTGTACACATTTAGTTTTATTGTAACAAAGCAACTTGTACACTTTTTAACGTTTAAAATTGAGCATCTTTTCTTTCCAGTGAAACAAAAAAAAGAAATTTAAAAATAAAACAGGAACAAAATTACAATAGAGAATGTCAATTCCAAATAAGATCCTACAGGTTCTGCTGATTCTCCCATAGAGTGGCAGGGCTCAAGTCATCATTAGGAGAGAATTTTATTTTAAAAGTGTCACCTTAAACTGCAAGGATGTCCGTTAAACATCACAATTAAACATGCCAAAGGAGAAGCCATGTTGTCAAAATGCCCACTTAACCCACCCAAACATCTCAAACCCACCCTTTTGCTGACCTTCTATAACCCCATTTTTTTAAAGATTTTTTTTCTTTTTTTAAACAAGAGAAAGTAGACAGATACATGTTGGTAAACGCTAACTGTCCATATTCACATAGAGACACAGTGTCATCTCTGAGCCCAATATACAGAGAAAGGAGAAAAAAAGCTAGAATTCTATGCACTACTACACAGGGGCCTGGCCCTCCAGCTTCAGCAGAGCTAAGGGTGCAGAAGGTCTTTCTTTTTTCCCCCGCAGCGCACGGTGGTGTAGATTCCATCAAGTCTGTGTTGAGACGAGAAGTGATAAAATTTAATTTGGAACAGAAACCAGTAGTCTTTCCCCACTGAATTCTGTTCAAGGTATTTCCCCGAATTAGGTAGAGAACCATGGTGTAAAGGAGAGAAAAAGAGAACTCAAAAAACAGGGCGACAGACTGAGCACAGGGAGTGGGGACGGGGAGGGGCGGGGCAGGGCTAGGGGAGGGGGAGAGAAAAGAAAAAAGACTGCATCTTGCTCCCAGGGACTGGAGAAAATTAAAAAAGATTGGAATCCGTCAGTGTTCCGTTAGTCATCTTCTCCTTCATCCTCCTCTCCTTCCTCTCCCTCGTCGTCATCTTCATCTTCTTCACCTTCATCTTCATCCCCTTCTTCATCAATATCTTCCAATCCTTCTTCCTCTTCATCATCGTCGTCATCTTCTTCTCCTTCCCCTTCTTCATCATCCATGTCAGGAACCAAGTAGCCAAATGTCGTCTTTGATGACCTCGCCGAGCTCATCTGCACCAGCATCCGAATGGTCAGTGAACCAAGTGAAGAAGCTCTCGGGTTCCTCATGCTGTCTCTTCCTGCTGGCTTTATTCTGTGTTTGACTTGCGCGTTTCGTCAAATCCTTTCCAGATTTCCATTTGATTTCAGTGGCCTTTGAAGATGGATCACCACTCTCATTCAGATGAAATTCTTTGGAGAGAACTTTATTTTCAAAGTAAGGGTTTTCATCAAAATAAAAATCTATTCTGTAACCCGATTTAATATCTTCAAATTCTGTCACTTCAACTCTTGTCAAATAATGCAGCGCCTCTTCATCCTCCTCCCCAAGCAGCGCAGACACTTGTGGATGGTTGACAAATGTTGTTACCCAAAAGTTGGGGATTTTGGCGATCAATTCCGACCTCTTCTGAAAAAATGGTTGGCGGAGTTTGTTATACTTCTGTTCTACTTTCAAAATCTCCTCACTGGCTTGCTCATTAAGTCTGTCTATTTCATTTTGTACTTCATCAATATGTTCAATCGCTTCCTGCTGCTCTTTTTCTGAGGTCTCGTTGGCCCCGTCGTGGTTGGAGTTGAGCTCCTTTTTACTGACTTTGGCCGCCGGCGCCGACGTGGTGCTGCTCCCGCGGGGGGCGGGCGGGGAGGCGCGAAGGGCAGGCGACGGGCGGGGGGTGGGGGGGGCGGCGGCGGCGGCGGCTTCCCCTCTCGCCACACGCGCGGCTCCTCGCTCGCTCCGGCCGCCTCCTCCCGGGCTCGCTCGCTCGCTCGCTCGCTCGCTCCCCGGCGGCTGGCGCGCGCGGCCCTTGCGGCCTGGCGACGAGGGCGGGGCTGGCGCGGCGCGGCGGCCGGGCCGGGCCCGGCCGGTGCGACGGCGGCGGCGGCGGCGAGCGGGCGGGCGGGCTTCACTCACGCTCGTGCTCCAGCTCGCTGCTCGCTCTCCGAGCCGCCTCCTCCTCCTCCGCCGCCTCCTCCGCCTCCTCCTCCTCCTCCTCCTCCACCTCCACCTCTTCTCTCAGTATTGTATTTCTATCTATGGTATTTGTCATTCTGATTACAATATGCCTTGGGGTCTTTTCTATTAGGACCTATTTTAGATGGTACTCTGTGGTCTTCTTGGATCAGGATGTCTGCATTCTCCAGCACTGGGAATGATGTCTTTACCTACTAATATCTCCTTGGGGTTGCCTCCCTGTCCCCCATGGTACTCTAATGATTCTTTTGTTCCTCTTCAATTCATCCCAGAGTTCTCTGATCTAGATTGGAGTTATTTTGTGGATTTTCTCTATCTTTTGATGTTCCTTAGAGGTTTTCTGCATCTCATCCTCAAGTTAGTGATTCTATCTCCAGCCGTTGTTACTCTCCTGCTAAGGGCACCCATTGAGTTTTTATTTCATCTACCAAATTTTTAATTAATGGATTTCTGTTTGCAATTTTCTTATTACTAGTCTAATTTCCTTCTGTATTTTATTGGCTGCCCATTCCACTGTATCTTTGAGCTCATTAAGCATTCTCACTAGTTTGTTTCTGAATTTTCTTCAGAGAGATTACCTATGTGAGTTTCAGGGCTCCTCTATTCATCCACTCCTCATTGTGTTTTTCTGCGCTGTTTACCTATGATGCCCACTGTACTCTGGAGGTTGATTCTTTCTAGCACGCTATTAGCCTAATCCCCCTCACTGCCTGGGAAGGAGCTGGCGGAGTTTGGGGATGGTGGTATCTTCTTTCCCTGAATGAGATAGGGTGGGGGAAATTAACTGGCGGTCACAGGAGCAGTCACTCACCCCAACCTGTGGGAGGAGCAAGGCAACAGGGCAATAGAGTCTGTGTCCCAAACTGCATCCAGCTTTTGGGCCCCCAGGAAACAACACTTAGGTTTAGAGAGGAGAGCCTGGCAAGCTACCAAGAGTATCTCGCCCCTGCGGCAGAGCCTGGCAAGCCACCTCTGATGTATTCGATATGCCAAACACAGTAACAACCAAATCTCCAATGGAGACCTTACTGGGCCCACTGGAGCAAATCAATGAACAATGGGAGGGCCTTTACTTTACTTTCCTTTTTAGGTTGAAGAGATTGCCCAATCATCTCCCAGATAGATAAGCTATGAGATACCAGTGTAGATGAATATTTGTACATCTTTACTAGCAGTGCAGGCATCCCTCCCTTTCACATATTTTTTTCTTTAAAAAATTTATTAGTGTTTGGGGCTGGAGCAATAGCACAGCGGGGAGGGCATTTGCCTTGCACGCAGCCAACCCAGGCTCGATTCCCAGCATCCCATATGGTCCCCTGAGCACTGCCAGGGGTGGTTCCTGAGTGCAGAAGCAGGAGTATCCCCTGTGCATCGCAGGGTGTGACCCAAAAAGCAACAACAAAAAAATTATTAGTGAAGTTTATACCAGCTTGAATCAGCTTAAATCAGCTTAATCAGTGGCTGAATGAATAGCAATAATCCTACATTGAAAAAAATAATAAATTTTAATTTTTTAAAGTAATTCTACTCCTTAAATTTCTAGGAAAATGTTTTTAATTAAGTAGTTTATCAATGGAAGGCACTTTGCCTATATAAACTTTGTATTTTCTCTTACAGGGAAATTCCTACCTACAAAGTAAGCAGTGCTTCTGGGTTCAATTCTCTAAAAACTTTAAATATAACCTTCACTTTCACTTACAGCTAAAGTTCTGAGTAACAACAGAGTAAGGATTAACAGCACATATGGTTACTTAATAGAATAAAGTGAAATATTTTTATTTTTTATATTCTAATGTTTTCCCTGTTCATTTTTTATAAGCTGGTGCTTGTTATGATCACTTGTGGGTTTTATTCCAAAGGAATTTTGTTTCTCCCTCCCCCCTTTTTAATGAATCACTGTGAGATACACAATTACAAAACTGTTCATGATTGGGTTTCAGTCATACACACCCATTCCTTCACCAGTGTACATTTCCCACCAGCAATGTCTCAGTTTCCCTTCCATCACCTCCCCTAAATGATTATATTTCTTATTTAATTTTTATTTTCCAGTTCCCCACATAGTAAAACAAACTAATGTAAAAATTCTAAACTCCAGAGGATGAAAAAATAACATAATGTATTTTTGTATTTATTATTAGTGAAAAGTGTGGGAAAGTAAAATTGGCTCAGATGAATTTCATGTGTGCTTTCAGTGTAAAGAAAAGTGAATCAGAGCCAGAGAGACAGTACAGGGGTTAAGGTACTTGCCTTACATGTGACAGACTTGGTTAGACCCGCTGCTCTGAATGTATACTGCTGAGCGCTTCTGGGCGTGAACCCTAAGTACAGTCAGGAATAATGTTTGAGCACTACTGGATATGGCCCAAAGGAAAATGAACCAATAATCTAGTTGAACTATTTATTTCTTAACAAGCTATTTATTTATGTGTATAGTAGAGTAGCTATTTCCCTACTTAACTGCCCTAGGAGGTCAGCTAGAAACTCAAATGCTGAACAGTATGGTAGCTATAAACTGCTAAGGCTCTAAGTAAAAAAAAAATACCTATATTTAGGAAAATTTCAATACTGCCTTTTTAAAAGTTGCAAAGCAAAAACTTTATGTTGGAATAGTGTGTGCTTGAAACCCTTTTATTAAGCATTTTGTAATTTAGAGCCTAAATAAAAATAGAAACAAGAGGGAGGTAAGAAAAATACGACATTGTTAATGAGAGTTTTCTTTGCCTTGGTGGTAATATAGTTTATTTATGCATTGTCCGTAGTAAAAATAATTTTGTATATAATAAATAAAAATGTGATTTGCATGACACAAAAAGCTGCATGTAAACATAATGAAAGAAGGCAAGATTATGAAATTGAGATTATGGCTCCTGACATGCCCTGTGATCAGACGTGCTGTGCCCTCATGCTTGGGCTCATGTTTCCTCAGAATGTGGCTAAGCAGGGGCAAGCTGTGACCCCAGACGGCATTTCCTGACAGAAGCACAGGAAGGGGATCAAGATAAGCCTTAGCAGATTGTAGAACAACGCCTCTGGAATAGTAAAGAATATGGGGGATTGACGATGTAGGACTTCTTAGAAACAGCTTCAACTAGCAAATGCTCTTGCTAGTCATTACTGAAAGAAACAAAAACATTTGGGGGCTGGAGAGATAGCACAGTGGATAAGATACTTGCCTTGCATGCAGGCCTACCCAGGTTCTATCCTTGGCATCCCATATGGTCCCCCAAGCCCCATCAGGTGTGATCCCTGAGTGCAGAGACAGAGGTAACCCCCGAGCACTGCTGGATGTGGACCCAAAAAGCAAAGAAACAAACAAATAAATAAAAACATTTAAATATGAAAAAGGAAAAAACAAAATTAGTAAAGTCACAGATTACATTTCTTTCAGCTAAATTACCTTGGGAAAAATCATCCGGTAGTACTTATTTTTTTTTTACCTATTTCATTAGATAGATAAACACAGTATATGGGGATATGGCCCCAAAATTTATGCTTTGTTTGTCTTTGCTCTTTTCTATGTTGAGAAATGTATAAAATGCCACACATGCCTCTTCCAGGAAATATTTCATGGCAGTATTGATGGCATCCCTGACTGCTATAAAACTTACTCCCTTTTGGCTAAACTGTGTGTGGTATCAAAGAATCCCTGTCAAAGCAGTTCTAATTGTAAAGAACATTGAAGGTATTGCATTTCTGGAATTTAAGTTATACTATAAAGCTATAAAAAACATACATTTGTGTGTGCATAACTGGAGTCAAGATGCACCCTCAAATCAGTAGAATAGAAATGAGATCCAAGAGATAAGTCCTCAGATCTATGTACAGCTAATGTATAATAAAAAAATTCGCCTATGTGGTCTCCCAAACTCTACCAGGAGTGATCCCTAAGTGCAGAGCCAGAATAAGCACTGAGCACCACCAGCTATAGTGCCAGATCAAAATTTACTAATAATAAACTTTGCAGTATACAGTGTTCTAACACCACACCTCCCACTTGTGTCATTGTCCCTCCACCAGTGTCTAAAGGACCCTTCCCACCATCTTGGCAAACTTAGTTCTCTAGAACTACTCCCAGGTTCTGTTACGTTGGCCGTTATTCACTTTAGCCTTTTGTTATTCTCTTTTATGTTTCTTTATAATCCACACATGAGAAAAATGATTCTCTATCTGTCCCTTTCCTTCTGATTGACTTCAATCAGCATGACACCCTCTAGTTCCATCCAGCTAACAGAGAATCGCAGGACTTCATCCTATCTAGTATTCCGTTGTGCATATGTACCAGTTCCTTTTCTCCTCCCCCAATTGATTTAAACACTGGTTTACAAAGTTGTTTATGATGCGTTTGTTATAGGCATTCAATATTCCAACCCCAATTCCACAATCACTGTGACATTCCCTCCACCATTGTCTCCATTTTCCTAACCATTCCTCAAAGCCTGCCCCTACAGCAGGTCCACAATATTTTATTTTATATTGCTTGCCACCACTAAATGGCTAATAAAATTATTAAAAAATGCTTCATTAAAATAAAATTTTTAAAAATTTCAAAAAAAATCTGGCTATAGCACACACTAGGGGAAAAGGCAGCTCAGACAGAGAAGGGAGCACCAAATAAAGGGTGTTGGGAGGATCCTCTCAGGATGGGAGAAGCATGCTGAAAGTAGACTATAGACCAAACATGATTGCCACTCAATGCCTCTTTTGCAAACCACAACACCCAAAAGGAGAGAGAGAACAGAGGGGAATGCCCTGCCACAGAGAGAGGGTGGGATGGGGGGGGGGGGGGAAGGAAAGTGGGAGAGATACTGGGATCAGTGGTGTTGAAGAATGGGCACTGGTGGAGGGATGGGTACTCGAACATTGTATAATTGACACCCAAGAACAAAAATTTTTAAGTCTACAACTGTACCTCATGGTGTTTCACTAATAAAAATTTAAAAATAAATAAATAAATAAATAATCTGGCTATACTCAGTAGAGCAAGGAATGCCCCTTCATTCATCCTGAGCAAACTGGATAGGTATATACAAAAGAAACCTTTTTTGCATAAAATATGCAAAAACTAATTAAGAATGGATTACTGACATCAAGATTAACCTGAATCCATAGAACATGTTGAGAAGAACATATGCAGGCAGAGCTATCTAGGATATGGATTTCAGAGGTGCCTTCAGTTATTTGCTTCCATTAGCAAAGATAACAAAAATAAGAAAATTGCACTATACTAATTAAAATTTTTTTACATACCAAAAGAAACGGGATAAAAGTAAAGACACCCTTCTAAATGGAAGAAATGTTCACACACTATATATTAAATGAGGGGCTAATACTCAAGACACAGAAGTACTCATAAAGCTCAACAATAACAAAAGTTTAATGATACCATCAAAAGTGGGAGAGGAGGTGAAAAAACACTTCCTTCAAAGAGGACATTTGGATGGCCAGGCATATGAAAAAGTGTTCATCATCACTTTTATTCAGGTAAATGTAAATCAGAATGTCAAAGAAATACTACCTCACACCAATGAGAATGGCGTTATCAAAAGACGGGAAGCAACCAGTAGTAAAAGGAACCCTCATCGACTAGTCATCTGGTAGCTTCTATATAAAGTAGTCTGGAAATCCAAAAATATAAAACTAGAGTGTCCATATAACCAGAGATTCCTTCTCTGTGCATTTACCACACACGAATATTAGCTTGAAGAGACACGTGCACATCTATGTTCATTGTATCACTTAGAGAAATAACCTGAACCTGAAAACAACTAGAATTTCCAGTGACAGATGAGTGGATGAAGAATTTCTATTATGCACAATGATATAGTATGCAATTATAAGAAAAGATAAACTATCTGCATTGAAAACCATAAGGCCCAAAAGAAGAGGGGGAGGGAGAGAGAGAGAGAGAGAGAGAGAGAGAGAGAGAGAGAGAGAGAGAGGTGTTTGCCTTAGTGGCAGACAGTGGGAGAGGGGTCGGGTGCAGGAGGGAAACTGGGATCATTGGTGGTTAAAAAAGCACACTGGTGAAGGAACAGGTATTGAAACATTATATGACCGAAATCCAATCACGAACAACTTTGTAAATATGTATATCACTATGAATCAATTAAAAAAAAAGAAAGGGGAAAAGAAAAAAAAGAAAAGATGAACTGATGCAGTTTGCCGAAACACACATAGAACTGGAAGGTATGATGCTAATAAAAGAAGTCAGAAGAAAGGGCTAAAGAGAGAGCTCAGTGGCCCAGAGGACATGCTTTGCATACATGAGGACTGAGTTTGGTCCCCAGGCACCACCAGGAGTGAACCTTTAGCGAGGAGATAGGAGTAGACCATGAGCACTGCCAGGAGTGGACCAAGAACCAAAAATAAATCAGTCAGAGGACAAACACCAACTGATATCACTCATCTGTGGTATATATAGAGAGAAAACAAAGAAATGGTATCAAGTGAAGACAAACCCAAGGCTATGAATTACAAACCTGAAATTATCAAGTAAGAAGGGAGTGAATATGGGAGGATGAAAGGCAGACAAGAATAGCATAAGAGCATGGGTAACTTAAGGAATGGGGAGGAATGGTAACTCATCAAATAAATCAACACTATTATAAACATGTTGCCTAAACTTCAACAAGAGTTATTATTATTAATGGTTCTAACAATAACTGACCCCAATTTTGAGGGCAGACAAAATTTTGCAAAGTTTTGGAAACATTCCAACACCTCTTGAAACAAGGTCATAACTTCTTAATGCTACAAAGAAGCCCAGAGGTCTTTGAGTTGTGCCAGATCACATCCCTGAAAAAAAACCGTTAGTTGGTCTCTGCTGGAACAGGCCTGGGGTACTTCCACCTGGAATGGACAAAGGCTGCTCTTGTCCTGACACGTCCACTCCACGCTGCAGGAGACAAGAGGCACAAGTTCAGCCAGCAGGGTATGGCGGCAACGGGGAGGGTGGAGAAGGGTGGGCAGCAACGAGAACCTGCAGCCCAGAGCCCCTGCCCTGTCCCCACCTGTCCAGGGTCCCTCCACTGCCCCCACATTTCCCTGACACCTTCACTCCGAGGGCTTTTTCCTACTTGATGTACTATTCAATCCCCTCTTAGATCTCTCCCAGGAAGCTAGCAGTCATGGGGTTAAACCACAGGCCCTGGTAAGCAGAAGAACGCGAGAAGGGAAGGGGAGACACATTACCTTTGTGGACGTGCACTGAGGCTCCAGGTCCTACCAATTCATTCAGGTCAACTGGAAATGGGAGGATGGGGTCAAGTGATGAGGAGAAGAGGCGAGCGCTCTCGCAGGATGTTACCACCATGTCCATCTATGGGAAACCCTGGGAATTGGGTCAAGCTTAGAGTCATCTGAACCCTGCCAAGAGTTATCTCTGAGTCTAGTACCAGGACTAAGACCTGAGCACATTTTGATTTGCAACCCCTTGAGCTAAGACCATCCCCAAACCTCAGTATGTGCACTTACAAGAACATTTGATTAAGTGTCTTTTTTGTTAAGGGTCTGGATTAAAGGAACTGTACGTGAATGTGCTACTATTGCTAACATGACATTGTAGGTAAGGGCATTGGTGTCAATGTGTGCTTTGGCTAAGAGAGGCTTTGCTATGGGACTTATATCTGGAACCATAGATATTAACAGTCATTTTTCAAAATGTCTTATTGCTAAAAGCACTGATACTGAGTGGAAACTGGATAAGTAATATTTTTGGTACAGATATTTTAAAAAATGTGACTCATGTGTGCCACTTATTGCTGTTAACGTTTCAGCTAGGCAAAACATATTTATAGAGCTTTTATTTAATTTTTAAAATTTTTTTATTAGTGAAACACCATGAGATACAGTTAAAGACTTACAAATTTTTGTGCTTGGGTTTCAGTTATACAATGATCAAGTACCCATCCCTCCACCAGCGCCCATGCTTCATCATCATGGGTCCCAGCATCCCTCCCATCCCTATTCCCCCCATCCCAACCTGTCTCTGTCTCAGGGAATTCCCTTTTGTTCTCTCTCTCTCCTTTTGGGTCCTGAGGTTTGCAAGAGAGGCGTAGAGGGGCAATCATGTTTGGTCTATAGTCTATTTTCAGCATGCTTCTCCCACCCTGGGAGGATCCTCCCAACACCCTTTATTTGGTGCTCTCTTCTCTATCTGAGCTTCATTTTCTCCTAGCACATGTGGTTGGCCTCCAAGTCACAGAGCAAAATTCCTGGTACTAATCTTGGCCACGCCTGGGTGTTAGTTTCCCATTTTGCTGCTTTATGTTCCACAGATAAATGTAGTCTTTCTGTGTCTATCCCACTCTTTCTGACTCATTTCGCTTAACATGATAGTTTCCATGTAGTAGTTCCACTTCTATGTGAATTTCATGACTTCATCTTTTCTAACATCTACATAATACTCCATTGGCTATAGACCTTTTAATCACGACTTATTCCCTAAAACTAAATGATATGTGAGTAGATGCTAAGAGTATGTATTTGACAAATACATTTAAAAAATGTATTTGACATTTTTTACGTGATAGAGCATGGTTTGTATTATAGTCTTTAGAAGTTCTTTTTTTCATACAAAAACAGCTGCAATATTGACATTCAATTTTGGATGTCAAAAGTCAAATTTAATTACACATCCACATTAGATCTGTAACCAAATTGTAACATTTTTGTTCCACACATTCTTTTATCTGAAATATTTTGGAATTTGTAGATTTTTTTCCATCAATGCTCTTGAATTTTCAAGACACTCCTTTGAATGGGAAGTTTGAGGTGGGAGAAGAATGACTTTAGGGGACTGCAGAGAGAGAGTACAGTGAATTGGGCTCTTGTCTGGCCCATGTTGGACCTAAATTCAATCCCCAACACTCCATGTGGTCCCTGAGATCCATCAGGACTGATCCCTAATCCCTGAGAAGATAGTCAAGAGAAAAGCCCAAGAATCAGTGGATGTGATCCAACACCCTGTACCCAAGAAAAGGGCAGGTTTTTTGGATTAAGAAAGAGCCTAAAGATCCCCTCAAACATTCACTGCCCATAACCAGACTTCAGTTCTAAGAAGGTGACCTTAAGTCCCCAATAAGATGAACACATGAAGTATTGTGCATCTCACATCAATCTATATATCCAAGTCCTTTTCATTGAGGAAAATATTCATTTTGTCATATAGACTAACAGAGAGATGTTAATACTTGCCAAACATCAGAAACAGAAAAGATAGTAGTATGTACACTCCAGTATGTACCTTATTCCCAATCATGGTTTGGAAAACTGGAATGATCAAGGCAGCATCATGTAGGATTGCTAAGACAAAATAGCAAATAAGAAAACAATAAAGGCCTGAAAGCCATACTTTGCACTTACGGACATACCGCTTTTGTTGTCTTGGTTTGGTTTTTCAGTCGATCCCTGCAGAGTTCAGAGTTATTCAGGGCTCTGAACAAAGGATCCACTGGGAAGCTATTTGAGAACAAGTCGGGGGACTGGGGATCAAAAATTGGCCAGGGACAGGGCGAAACAAGCAGTCCAATTCCTTACTAGCCCTTCAGGCACCTGTTAAACTACCATGCAAAATTTAACTTCCCCTGGGAGATGCCTGCCACAATCCCTTCATGGTATAACTGAAGCTGTCCACAATGTCTCCACAGTTTGAGGCCAGTTCTGAGTCAGGGCGGATGCCTGTGATTTGTCCGTATGAGCCTGGATTTGTTCAGTGTTACAGCTCCTAGTTAATAGCTCAAATTTTTCGGATGGCCATGGAAGACAGGAAAGAAAAGGCGTTCCTTGGACAACCCCTCTTACCCACACACACACTCACACACAGAGACACACACACAAACACATGCATCACTGCAACAACCTGTAGCCTCGAACACTCCCTTATAAAGTGTCTGGGTTTATAAATATTCTCTCTCCTTACCCTCGCTTGTTTCTCCCATCAGATTGCAACCACCAATCTGGCCACCTCCTCTCAATTAGAGCTTAAGCACTAACTGAAACTCCCAACGGCCACAACTGTCACTCCTTCCTTGCAGTGCCCTCTTTACTCTGCCATTTGATTGCTTCCTGGGATTGGCCAATGTGATGCTTGTGAGGAGCTAACTAATGATGGGCTCTATCTAGCCCCTCCCATCTCATCTCATTGGACCCACCCTTTATATATCCTCTAACCTGCTCCCTGCTTCATGATTTCATGATTTCACACCATATATATATAGTTACTTACAATCTCTACATGATGCTGCTTTGACGATTCACTATTTCCATATTACATATATATATAATATATACATATATATCATATTCTGCCTAGCAAGAATTTAGTAGCAAAGAGTCGGGTAAAAAAAATATGTATTGCAAGTTATCCATCAGAAATTCAACATTGTAAATATCAATATCATCAAATATCCAGTGTATTTCAGGCCAAAGTGCTAATGAGAATGCAAAACTACTTTCATAATTCTGCTTGGTTTGACTGGAATGCAGAAAAAGGAACTTGAAAATCTCTAGACCCAGAAAATGAGCACCGTAGTTAGTTCAGATCTCACAATATATTATCACAGCTTATCCTTCAAAAGTCATATTCAAATTTAACAAGTAGCGAGTTCAGTGAATATTCTCAATCACCTTAAATGAATGGAGGGAAAAATGGCATTAAATATGACAGAAATTTTACAGCATGCTATCTGAGGTATGATTAAATCCATGAAATTTTTTAATGCACTTAAACCGAGCTATTCTACTCCTGCCCCATTTTTTAATATGTGTTGGCAATTAAGCCTTACTAATGATGGTAACCAAATCAACTTACCATTAATGATTGAAGATTGCTATAATTCTAATAACTCTATAGTTTCAAACATTGACCAAATAATTAGTGCAGACGTTTTGCTACTGTTTCTGTCAACTTTGGTACAAAGCAGTACTTGCGTGAATGAAGAGACTAATTCTTTTCCTACCCATTATACATTTCCAACTTTTAAACATGAGCTCTCTGGTTCTTCAAATAGCTACATGTGAATACCAATTCAAATTTTATGGGTTGATTATTGTAGCACTGCAGCACTGTCCTCCAGTTGTTCATCGATTTGCTCGAGCAGGCACCAGTAATGTCTCCATTGTGAGACTTGTTGTTACTGTTTTTGGCATAGCAAATCCACCACGGGGAGCTTGACAGACTCTGCCGTGCCGGCAGGATACACTCGGTGGATTTCTGGGCCCTCTGAGAAGGACGGAGGAATCGAACCCGGGTGGCCCAATGCAAGGCAAATGCCCTACCCGCTGTGCAAACCTTCCAGCCCAGTGTTGATTATTACTGTTATTTATTTATAGAAACCTTACCTTTATTATACTTGATGCTCACTATGTTCAATTATCTTCATTTTTTATTAATTTATTAATTTATTTTTTTAATAGTGAGACATCATGAGGTACAGTTGCAGACTTACACATTTTCGCTCTTGGGTTTCAATTATACAATGATCAAACACCCATCCCTCCACCAGTGCGCATTTCCCACCACCATGGATCCCAGTATCCCTCCCCCAACCCCCAGCCCCCATCTCAGCCTGCCTCTGTGGCAGGGCATTTCCCTCTCCCTCCTTTTGAGTGCTGTGGTTTGCAAAAGAGGCATTGAGTGGCAAACATGTTTGGTCGATAGTCTACTTTCAGCATGCTTCTCCTATCCTGGGAGGATCCTCCCACCACCCTTTATTTGGTGTTGCCTTCTCTTTCTGAGCTCCCTTTTCCCCTAACATTTGTGGTTGGCCTCCAGGTCATTGAGTAAAATTCTTGGTACTGATCTCTTCCATTCTTGGGTGTTAGTTTCCTATTTTGTTACTTTATGTTCCCCAGATGAATGCAATCTTTCTATGTCTATCCCTTTCTTCCTGAGTCATTTCGCTTAACATGATACTTTCCATGTAGTACCACTTGTTATGTAAATTTCATGACTTAGTCTTTTCTGACAGCTACATAGTACACCATTGTGTAAATGTTCCAAGTTTTTATACTTGAACATTTCCGTCACTGAACTCTTTTTTTTTTCATTTTTTATAATTTTATTGGACTGGAGCGATAGCACAGCGGTAGGGCGTTCGCCTTACATGCGGCCAACATGGCCGACCCGAGTTCGATTCCTCCGCCCCTCTCGGAGAGCCCGGCAAGCTACCGAGAGTATTCGATATGCCAGACACAGTAACAACAAAGTCTCCAATGGAGACGTTACTGGACCCGCTCGAGCAAATCGACGATCAACGGGAGGGCCTTTACCTTTTTTATAATTTTATTTATTGAATCACCATGAGAGCAGTTACAAAGCTTTCGGGTCTAAGTCTCGGTCATACAATTAAACATCCATACCTTCACCAGTGCCCATTCTCCACCCCCAACAACCCCAGTATACCCCCATCCACACCTTCCCCCTACCTGTGGGGCAGATGATTTCCATATTACTCTCTCTCCCTATTTTGATCACACATTCAATATTTTGACACCAGACCCATCATTATTATTTAAGATTTTACCCCAACATTCAGATCTGCTGAAAAGGCAACAGTAGACAATTTGTTTTCTATTTGCTGGTTACGAATAACATGATGTCACGTGGCTGCAGTAGTGGCCATGTGATTTTGAAATTCTGAAATTTTTTTTATTTGTTTATTTTATTTTGCTCGAGCGGGCCCAGTAACGTCTCCATTGGAGACTTTGTTGTTACTGTGTCTGGCATATCGAATACGTCACGGGAGCTTGCCAGGCTCTTCAAGAGGGGCTGAGGAATCGAACTCGGGTCGGCCATGTTGGCCGCTTGTAAGGCAAACGCCCTACCGCTGTGCTATCGCTCCAGCCCTGAGGTATGATTAAATCCATGAAATTTTTTAATGCACTTAGACAGAACCATTCTACTCCTGCCCCATTTTTAACATATGTTGGCAATTAAGCCTTACTAATGATGGTAACCGAATCAAGTTACCATTAATGATTGAAGATTGCTATAATTCTAATAACTCTGTAGTTTCAAACATTGACCAAATAATTAGTGCAGACGTTTTGCTGCTGTTTCTGTCAACTTTGGTACAAAGCAGTACTTGCGTGAATGAAGAGACTAATTCTTTTCCTACCCATTATACATTTCAAACTTTTAAATATGAGCTCTCTGGTTCTTCAAATAGCTACATGTGAATACCAATTCAAATTTTATGGGTTGATTATTGTAGCACTGCAGCACTGTCCTCCAGTTGTTCATTGATTTGCTCGAGCGGGCACCAGTAATGTCTCCATTGTGAGACTTGTTGCTAATGTTTTTGGCATAGCAAATCTACCATGGGGAGCTTGACAGACTCTGCCCTGCTGGCAGGATATGCTCGGTGGATTTCTGGGCCCTCTGAGAAGGACGGAGGAATCGAACCCGGGTGGCCCAATGCAAGGCAAATGCCCTACCCGCTGTGCAAACCTTCCAGCCCAGTGTTGATTATTACTGTTATTTATTTATAGAAACCTTACCTTTACTATACTTGATGCTCACTATGTTCAAGTATCTTCATTTTTTTATTAATTTATTAATTTATTTTTTTAATAGTGAGACATCATGAGGTACAGTTGCAGACTTACCAATTTTCGCTCTTGGGTTTCAATTATACAATGATCAAACACCCATCCCTCCACCAGTGCGCATTTCCCACCACCACGGATCCCAGTATCCCTCCCCCCCCAAGCCCCCATCCCAGCCTGCCTCTGTGGCAGGGCATTTCCCTCTCTCTCCTTTTGAGTGCTGTGGTTTGCAAAAGAGGCATTGAGTGGCAATCATGTTTGGTCGATAGTCTACTTTCAACATGCTTCTCCGATCCTGGGAGGATCCTCCCACCACCCTTTATTTGGAGTTCCCTTCTCTTTCTGAGCTCCCTTTTCCCCTAACATGTGTGGTTAGCCTCCAGGTCATTGAGTAAAATTCTTGGTACTAATCTCTGCCATTCTTGGGTATTAGTTTCCTATTTTGTTACTTTATGTTCCCCAGATGAATGCAATCTTTCTATGTCTATCCCTTTCTTTCTGAGTCATTTCGCTTAACATGATGCTTTCCATGTAGTACCACTTGTATGTAAATTTCATGACTTCGTCTTTTCTAACAGCTACATAGTACTCCATTGTGTAAATGTTCCAAGTTTTTATACTTGAACATTTCCGTCATTGAACTCTTTTTATTTCCATTTTTTATAATTTTATTTATTGAATCACCATGAGAGCAGTTACAAAGCTTTTGGGTCTAAGTCTTGGTCATACAATGAAACACCCATATCTTCACCAGT